GTGGAGGGTAGTCCAGGAGAGCCCCAGATCCTCAATAAGGAAATTGTTTGGGGGGTTCGGAATAATAAAACACTCCGCCAGCCGTCCTAGTTTTCCAGATCTTTCAAAAGGATTTGTTTGATTTTAAAAGGGCCACAGATTCAAGCTATATAGCCAGATACTAGCAAATCTGTTAGTCCGTGCAAGCCAGATACTAGCAGACCTATGAATCCGTGAAATCCATATCAGCCGAGAAAACCGTAAACTCCGGAAAATTCCTCCATATGAATCCCTTTTCGGGCTTATTAAAAATCGTACGGTCCGTCAATTTCTGTGGGGGTAGTCCAGCACAGTCCCAGATTCTCAACAAGGAAATTGTTTAGGGGTTCGGAATAGTAGAAAACTCCGCCAGCCGTCCTAATTTTGCTGGCTGTTTTTCAAAATTGCATTTGAATCAAAAGCTTAAACCGATCCTATACCCTAAACCTTGAACCTTTCTCACTCTCTCTCAGCCACTCTCTCAGTTGCTTGTGGTGCGTTTCTGACTACGCACCAAAAATAAATATCAGGTATTCATACCTAAGGTCCAGAGCTTTCAGCAGAGCTATGAATCCTTGAATGTTAGTTAAATCAATTGGTTTAACTTGAATCTAAAGTGACTCTAAATAGATTTCCAAGTGAGTTTGAATAGATTTGAAGTAAATCGTAATTAGCTTTCAATTGGATTGAATTGCATTTCACTTGGTTCGAATCGGGTTTCATTTGATTTTGAACAGCGTGTCATTAGATTTGAAAAGTGGTTTTCATTTGATGTTCACTTGGTTTCTAGTGGTTAGGTTTGCAATTGAATTTGATTAGGCTTTAATTAAGTTGCAATTCGATTCCAGTTGATTTGAAGTAGGCATGAATCAGTTTAAAATTGGTTTCTCATTCGATTTCAACTGTACCGAATTAGATTTCTATTAGCTATGGATAGCTTTCCAACTGGTTTCATAGGGTTTTGAATAGGTTTTGATGCTAATGGTAATGCCGGTACANNCACTAATACGAAATCGAATACCAGCTTCAAGGCGCCAACCGAATTTCCAGGTGTTTATCGATTTTCTATAATTGCGCGGCAAATTTAGGGGGGTGCCGAACTGTTAAAAAGGAATACTAATTGTTGAGGGGGGGGGGGTCCCCACCATTAAAAAGGGTGCCACATGAACCCCCTCTAGATCGTAGAACTGTGACGTACGAAGTGCGAACCGTGTCCTAGAAGCCCAGCTACCCATTACGTATGTAATAGGATCCTAGATGGTCGCTAACGAATGAGAAGTATAGGCCTCCTTGCAGAAAATGGGGCCAATTTGCATCCCAGCCCGTACTTCTCAACACTGAAAAGACCAAGAAGTTTACTTTAGAATTGCAGCTTACTTGCTTTAGGGTTGAATTCGCAGAACCACCCCCTGAACCACATAACCAGAAAGGAGCCTTCCCTTCACTCTGAATCCCAGCAGCACAAGAACGAGACACCACTGACCCATCAGAACATCCCGAAGTCCTGCATGCCAAGCCGTCGTTCCTTGTGACTACCAAAAACCTAAACCCTTGACCGCGTGCGACAAAAACAGAGGACAGACGCCAAAAAAGGGTTGGTTCCGCGATGAGGCGGTAGACGTCACTTTAAGTTGATAACTTGAAGTTGATACACTTGGCAAGTAGAACTTAGAGGAGAACGTTAATGATCCCAAGCCCAAAATTAGGGTCGTGCTGGCTATGGGACCCTAATTTTTGGAGGGCTGCAAGTGCCAAAGCCAGCTTATTAGTAGGCGCGTGTTGCAATCATGCCTAAAAAAAACCCAAGCCATGCATGCGGTTCAAGGTGTCAGGTGAACTTTTGGAACCCTGAAGTTGGGGTTGCCAAATCATTGTGTTGCAAACTCTGAACCTGTAGGACTAGTATACACCCCCTGTAGACTCCCCGTGCAGCCCTTATTGGATTCTCCAGTATTCGATTAGATGATGTAGGCCCATAAGCCTTGACCACTACATACAAGATTAGATTACTTGAAAACCCTCAGTGGTAGTCAGGTGAACCCAGCACTGTCAAGGCTGATATAGGCTGATGGTGGGCTTAGTGTTACCAAAAGAGCTCTTATAACAATTGCGAATTGCTCCAATAAGGTGTTGCCG